GTGTGGCCCATGGAGCCTCCCCTGTACCCCTTGGCTCTCAGTTTTTTCAGTGCCAAAGATCTTTGTGGTTCGCACCACTGCAGTGATTTTGCAGGTCCTGTTGCTTACCAGAGTTGCTGTGTCCATCATATTTCTAATAGTCAGCACTTTCTGGCCTTTGACTTTCCAGGGTAATTTTGATTATTCTGGATTGCTTCTCTTTTAATCACTGAAGCCCACTCAACCTCAGCATCTCACACTCTCCTCCCCCTATTCTCAGACGACAGATACTAGACAGTGTATCAGGTATGCTGGTTATGGTAAATATCATAACACTAATTGTTGGAACACAAACTTAACATTTTATGTATTTATGTATGTATTTATTTATTTAATCCTCACCCAAAGACATTTTTACATTTTCAGATACAGCGAGAGGGAGGGAGAGGAGGGAGAAAGAGAGAAAGACAAACATCGATGTGAGAGAGACACATCGAGTGGTTGCCACCCACACAACCCCAACTGGGGCCGGGGACAAACTGCAACCAAGGTACCTGCCCTTAGCGGGAACCAAACCTGGGACTCTCTGGTTCATGGGCTGATGCTTTAGCCAGGGCCAAACTTAACATTTTATTGGCTTAATACATTTTATCTTTTGTTCAAGTAGCATTTCAGTGTGGGCATTCCTATTAATGATTGGTTTCTTTCATGTGTCCCCCAAATTTTACTTCTAGGTATTTACCCAAATGAGAACATACACACAAAAAACATATACACTTGTTACAAGACCCTTCATAGTAATTTTCCATTTTTAAAAGTAATAGCCCCAAACTGGACACAGTCCAGGTGTTTGTCAAGATGCATGTGGAGTACCACACTCAGCAATAGGAGAGAGTCCGCCACGACGTCAACGCACCTCAGAAATGTGATGTTCAGTGGAGGAAAACAGACACGAAAAGTATACACCATGTTATCCCATTAATGGAAAGTTCCATGGTAGGCAAAACCAATATACAGCGAGAAAAGTAAGAATAGTATATATCCAACTTCTGGTCGAGATAGCAGATTAGGTAAACGTGGTATCGCGTCCTCCCACAACCACATCCAAAGTACAACTAAACTACAGAACAATCATCATTCAAAACCACCTGAAAACCAGCTGAATGAAGTCCTACAACTATGGAATTAAAAAAGAAGCCACATCGAGACTGGTAGGAGGGGCGGAGGTAAGAACAGGCTGGTTCCACACCCACGTGTGGTGGATAAAAATCAGGAGGATACCTCAGCTGGGAAGGCCCTCCCCGAGGAGTGAGGGATCCCCCTCCCACACTAGGCCCCAAGCTCAAGGTTCCAGTGCCAGGAAGAGAAGTGTCTATAAATTCTGGCTAGAAAAAACAGTGGGAACTGAGGCTGAGCGAGGCTGAGGCTGAGGGAGGCTGAGGCTGCTGGAGCTGCAGGCAGCTCCACTTAAAGGGCCCACACACGGACTTACTCAGACTTTCTCCCTCTGAGATCCAGTGCAGAGGGGAGACATACGGGGAAAAACTGAGTTGTTTGGCATTGGGGTGAGGGCTGGAGAGGCAGCTTTCTCCTGGAGAGACGTGATGTCAGAGGTTTTTTTCTTTTGGTGAGCCCTTCCCCAACAAGGCTGGCAGACAGCGGTCATATCTGGGATTCCAGCAACATGGCTCACAATATTTGCCCCATCCTGGTGATTCCCTGAGGCCCTGCCCCACACCATCTTCAGGTGCACCCAAGCTATTTCCAATGGATTTACCATAGGATTGACCTGTCTTGGGTCCTACTTCAGATTTTCCTAATTGTCTCAAACAAAGAGCATCAGGTCTAAGCGAGTCCCATACCTCTCGTTAAGTAGCCCCAGGCCTGGCACTAGAAGCAGCCAGCCTTGGTTCACAACTTGGTTTTTCCTGGGCAGCTCTAAGCCCAGCACAAGAAGCAGCCATCTGAAGACTGCTTTTGTAGCTTATGCCTGGTGGCCCCAGGTAGAACACAGGCAGTGGCTGAACTGGCCCCAGAGCCAGCATACCCAGTGGACAGCTTCAGAACACTGCAAAGCCCCACCACACAACCACCTCCACAAATGACACACTCAATGAGTGGACTCAGTGGGTACCAGAGCCCCACTAAAGTAAGTCTTGCTCTGTGTGGTGGGCCCAGCACAGCTGATCATCCAAGGGAGTCAGAGGTCAGTGGATAGTGGGCACAGCCAGTTCTTGCAGCTGATCAGCCTGAGTAAAACCCTCTCACTGATGTGCCAACAGCAATCAAGACTCAATTACAACAGAAGGGTGTACAGTCCACATGAGGGATGCCTCTCAAGGGCCCAGCTGGGAGACCAGGGAGGCTGTGCCTCTGGACCCTACTGGACACCTACTACAATAGGCAACATTACAAAGCTCAGGAGACATATAGTAACTCTAGTTAATATATAGAAGCAAACACAGGGAGACAGCCAAAATGAGGAGACAAAGAAACATGTCCCAAATGAAAGAACAGAAAAAAAACTCCAGGAAGAGAACTAAACAAAATGGAGATAAGCAATCTAACAGATGCAGAGTTCAAAACACTGCTTATAAGGATGCTCAATGAACTTAGTGAGAACTTTAGTGAATTTAGTGAGGACCTCAAGAGCATAAAAAAGGACCAGTCAGAAATGAAGGAGGCACTCAATGAAATAAAAAATAATTTACTAATATTCAATAAAACAGTAGGTAAAGCCAAGAAGCAAGCCATCAATATGAAATATAAGGAAGCAAAGCACACCCAATCAGAACACCAGAAAGAAAAAAGAATCCAAAAAAAATGAGGATAGTGTAAGGAGCCTCTGGGACAACTTCAAGCATGCCAACATTCACATCATGGGGGTGCCAGAAGGAGAAGAGAGAAAACAAGAAATTGAAAACCTATTTGAAACAATAGTGACAAAAACTTCCCTAACTTGGTGAAGAAATCAGACATACAAGTCCAGGAAGCACAGAGAGTCCCAAACAAGATGAACCCTAAGAGGCCCACACCAAGACACATCATCATCAAAATGCAAAAGGTTCAAGACAAAGAGAAAATCTTAAAAGCAGCAAGAGAAAAGCATTTAGTTACCTACAAGGGAGCTCCAATAAGACTGTCAGCTAATTTCTTAAATTAAACTTTGCAGGCCAGAAGGGAGTGGCAAGAAATATTCAGAGTGATAAAAAACAAGAACCTACAACCAAGATTACTCTATCCTTCAAAGCTATCATTTAGATTCGATGGACATATAGTTTTCCAGACAAGAAAAAGCTAAAGGAGTTCATCACCACCAAACCATTATTATATGAAATGTTGAAGGGTCTTCTTGAAGGAAAAAAAGATAAAAAATATGAACAAACAAAATGGCAATAAATACATATACATTGACAATTGAATCTACAAACAAAATGAACAAGCAGGACAGAAACATTTCATAGATACAGGGAACATTTTGTTGGTTGCCAGATACGAGTGGGGTTGGGGAAATGGGTGAAAAAGGTGAAGGGATTAAGAAATACAAATTGATTGTTAGACTGACAAACCTCAAATGGAAGGGGGTGGGTGATGGGTGGGAAGAAATAAAGCAAAGAACTTCTATGCAATGGTCACAGACAACAGTGTGGGGAAAGGCAGGAGTGGGGCAGGAATGGGGAGGAGGGGGTCAATAGGGGAAAAGGGAGGAACAGCTACAATACATTCAACAATAAAGATTAGTTTTTAAAAAATAAAGTAAAAGCAGCTAGAACAGTAAAGAAAATAATAATAATGGTGTGGACCCTGGTAGAATGAATGGAGCATGAGAGCATGTTGGGGTTGGTTGGGGAAGGACTTGAGGGCTTTTTTCTTTGGTGATGGAAACGTTCTATATCTTGATAGGAGTAGGGGTTTACCCAGCTACAAGCATTTTTAAAAACTCATCAAACAATATATTTAAGATCAAGGCATTTCTCTCTACTTGAATTATACCTCAATTTGGGGAAAAACAAACCACTTGGCTCTCTCATTTCCCCCTTACGGTATCAGCAAACATCCAAGTTTGACAACATGCTTCTTGAAGAAGGCAAAGCAGCCCCATCCTTGCACAGACTCCCTTTCATAGGAGCCAGGCTGAGCGGCCTGGCTGTCTCCTCCTCTGTCAGCCTGTTGCCCTGAGGTGAGGGCACAGACTGTGGCCACAGTCTCTTTCAGCCTCTGCCTTCTCTACTTGAAAGCCAGTTGGCCGTCACTGCCTCTTCTCTTCATGAAAAGGAGGAAATTCTTTGTAAACCTACCTTTCTCCAGGACCCTAACCCATCTGCTTGTAGACATACCTCCCTGCTTACCAACAGCCAACATTCCTGTGGGAACTCTGCAGGTTTGGCAAAACTCAACTTGATAAGGATTCTTCGTGCTCTCGCCCACTTCAATGCTGCTTCCCCGCCCTCTGCCAGAGTCCATGGCAGCCACCTGTCCTGTTCTGAAGCTGCTGACCAAGGCCAGCGGAGAGAAGCTGTCTTCTTATCCTCTCTCATTGGAAGGATGTGCCATCCAAACCTTTGGAGAGGACTCAAGCTGAAATTGGTAACTTACCCCCAAGTCTCAGCGGGACCATTGGTGTGGTTGTGGGTTCCATTTGTGTGTGTGTGTGTGTGTGTGTGTTTTAAATATGTTTTTATTGATTTTTTTTTTTTGAGAGAGAGAGAGGAAGGGAGAGAGAGAGATAGAAATAGCTATGTGAGAGAGAAACATCAATCAAATGCCTTCTACCCATACATGTGCCCTGACCGGGAATTGAACTGAGACCTCTCAGTCCATGGGCCAATGGTCAATCCACTGAGTCACACTGGCTAGGCTGGAGTCCAGGTTTTTTAAAGCACCCCTATAAGTATATGATTATTTCAGGCACAACAAATTACATGAGACTCCCTCCTCACAACCTTCACCCACCCTTGACCTTACTCCACAAACTGAGAAGGACACTGGTTTTGAGGCACTACAGTGTTTAGTCATGGGTTTCATAGAAGCATCACAAAATATAGTAACAAGAGGGCCCATGGTGATAGAAGCCAACTGTACCCAGAGTCTGGCTCGTGCATGTAGGGCCTTCCAGACCGCGCAGTCTCTGTGTTAATCCATACCAGGTACTTAGACACCTTCGTGTACACTCCAGGCAGATTCTTCAGGCCACAGCCCACTCCCCAGCTGACAATGCCCAGCTGGTACCATGTTTTATTGTCAATTTTCTGGCAAACCAGAGGCCCCCCACTGTCACCCTAGAAGAGAAAAGTTGTTTGGGAATGACAGGGACAGTAAAAAGTTACTTCTGTAGACTCTTGAGGTATAAGCACCTGGTACAAGGCCAAAATCACTCATGGTGTCTTTTGATGAGCAGACATTTTAAAGTTTGATTAGAATCTCCAACTTTGCTTCATGGGGGAGTTTTATTGAACATTAAAAGAAGATCTAATACCCATTCTTCTCAAACTATTCCACAAAATCTAAAAAGATGGGAGACTTCCTATCTCACTTTATGAGGCCAGCATAATCCTAATTCCAAAACCGGATAAAGACACTACAAACAAAGAAAACTACAGGCCAGTATACCTGATGAATACAGATGCCAAAATCCTTAACAAAATTTTAGTAAATTGGATCAGAAATACATCAAAAATTCTATCCACCATGACCAAGTAGGATTTATCCCAGGGATGCAGGGCTGGTACAATATTCCCAAATCAATAAATGTGATACACCACATAAATAAAATAAAAAATAAAAACCATATGATCATATCAATAGATGCTGAAAAAGCATTAAACAAAATCCAGCACCCATTTCTGATCAAAATTCTCAGCAATGTGGGAATAGAGGGATCATATCTCAATATAATAAAGGCCATATATGAAAAACCTACAGCCAATATCATACTTAATGGGCAAAAATTAAAAACATTTCCCTTAAGAATGGGTACAAGACAGGGATGCCCACTTTCACCACTCGATTTTAACACAGTATTGGAAGTCTTAGTCACAGCAATTAGAAAAGATGAAAAAATAAAAGGGATCCAAATTGGAAAGGAGGAAGTGAAACTGTCATTATTTGCAGATGACATTATATTGTACATAGAAAACCCTAAAGACTCCATCAGAAATCTACTAGACTCCATAAATGAATTTGGCAAAGTAGCAGGGTACAAAATTAACGTCAAGAAATCGATGGCATTCTTATACACCAAAAATGAACTCACAGAAAGAGAAACCAAAAAAACAATCCCATTTACCATTGCGGCAAAAAAATCAAGATACCTAGGAATAAACTTAACCAAAGAAGTGAAGGATCTCTTCACAGAAAACTACAGGTCATTGAAAAAAAGAAGTAGCAAAAGATATTAAAAAGTGGAAGCATATACTTTGTTCGTGGATTGGAATAATTAACATCATTAAAATGTCCATACTACCCAAAGCTAAATATAGATTCAATGCAATCCTCATCAAAATACCAATGATATACTTCACAGAACTAGAACAAATAATCCAAAAGTTTATATGGAACCAAAAAAGACCCCGAATAGCCACAGCAATCTTGAAAAAGAAGAACAAAGTAGACATCAGGTTATACTAAGAAGCCACTGTAATCAAAACAGCCTGGTACTGGCACAAGCACAGGCACATAGATCAATGGAACAGAACAGAGAACCCAGAAATGGACCTAAGACAATATGCTCAATTAATATTTGACAAAGGTGGCAAGAGCATACAATGGAGTCAAGACAGCCTCTTTAATAAATGGTGTGGGGAAAATTGGACAGCGACATGCAAAAAATGAAGACAGAACACCAACTTACACCATACACAAGAATAAACTCTAAATGGATAAAAGACTTAAATGTGACTCATGATTCCATAAAAATCCTAGAAGAAAATGCAGGCAACAAAATTTCAGACATCATATGCAGCAGAATTTTCACTGCTACATCACCTAAGGCAAGAGAAACAAAGGAAAAAAATGAACACATGGGACTACATCAAACTAAAAAGCTTCTGTGCAGCAAAAGAAACAACCATCAAAATGGAAAGGGAACCCAGTATATGGGAGAGCATCATTGCCAATGATGCAACAGATAAGGGGTTAATTTTCAAAATATATAGAGTACTCACACACCTCAACAAAAGGAAGACAAAGGACCTAAAGAGACACCTCTCCAAACAGGACATACAAATGGCCAAGAGACATATGAAAAAATGCTCAACATCACTAATCATCAGAGAGATGCAAATTAAAACAACAATGAGGTATCACTTTACACCTGTCAGAATGGCCGCCATCAGTAAATCATTAAACAACAAGTGTTGGCGAGGGTGTGGAGAAAAGGGGACTCTAGTACACTACTGGTGGGAATGCAGACTGGTGCAGCCACTATGGAAAACACTGTGGTGTTACCTCAAAAACTTAAAAATTGAACTTCCATTTGATCCAGTGATCCCACTTCTAGGGATATATCCTAAGAATCCTGAAACACCAATCAGAAAGAATATATGTATCCCCATTTTTATAGCAGCACTATTTACAATAGCTAAGATCTGGAAACAGCCCAAGTACCCATCAGTAGATAAGTGGATAAAAAAGCTGTGGTACATATACACAGTGGAGTACTATGTGGCTGTAAGAAAGAAAGATCTCTTATCCTTTGAGATGACATGGAGGGACCTGGAGAGTATTATCCTAAGTGAAACAAGCCAAGCAGAGAAAGACAAATATCACATTATCTCACTTATTTCTGGAATATAATGAACTAAACAAACTGATGAACAAAATAGACCCAGAGACATAGAAGTAGGGTACAGACTGACATTCCTCAGAACGGGGGATAAACCACAGAACTTATATGCATGTATGCATAACCGATGGACATAGACAACAAAACTGGGGACAGGGTGGCGGGTATAGGGAGGAGCGAGTCAATGGGGAGAAAAAGAAAAAAAACATCTGTAACAAAAATAAATTAATAAAAAAAAGAAAAAGAAAAAGGAAAAGGAAAAAATCTCCAATTCCCTGGCTGTGCTCCCGGATCTGTGACTGTTAGAAAGGGTGGTACACAATTGGTCAAACGCAATGATGATGAATGACGCTTTGGTCAAAAAAGGGGTATATGTCACCATCCTCATTCAGTTGTGTGAATTTATTTTGATGGACAAAGAAGTGATTTTCTTCCATGTGACCTCTAAGCACTTTTGTTTTTTCAATTGTCCCCCTGCCTTTTTATTCCAAATCCACTTTCAGCCTGCCCATGTTGTTTTTTCTGGATTATTTCACAGCAAAATGTGAAAACACAAACACAACAATTCATTATGCCCCATAATAGGTCATTAGTGGTTGAATACAACAGGCATACACACTGATGTATATATGAAATTCAAAAAATACAAAATGTTATATTGTAATTATAAGTGATTTATAAATTTTAAAACATCATGAAAAAGATTGCCAAGTAAGCACAGAAAAATGAAATAGACACTATTGTCTTGAAAATTGAGGCCTACAACACCTTTTAATGCCCCCAAACCTTTCAGACCACTTTTAAAATTCTATTATGTATCTTTAATCAGAAAACTCAGACATGGAAAAGCAACACTAAGAATACCCATAATTATATAACTGATTAAATGTATACATAGAAACTCATAATTGTGCATAAAAAATATGTATCAGGTAGGATACAGGTGCTATAGCAATGGTTTCTCTGAGGAGTGAACAGAACAGTATAAAAGGTATACTGAACACCATCTATAGCACTTGAATTGTCTTTACCACATACTTAGATAAGTGAAATAAACAACATTTCCAATTCCAACCATGCAGAAGAAACTCCTTATTCAAATATAACTTTCCACATCCTTATGTATGCAAATATGCAAACATCATTATTTTACAGAAGGATCAGGCATTACATATTGTTTCACAGCTTACAAAGGTTTATCTTTGAAAATCTTAAGTGACATAAAACAGTTGAAAAGGAGTACCATTCAGTAAAATGCCCCAAATCCTAATACAAAACCAATAACTAACAAATAAACAAACAAAAAAACAGGGCATGCATTTGATTTCTTTTAACCAGAATGTTCTCATGAACAAGTTGCTGTATACCTCAACTTACTTGGAACCAAACTGTCCTTTACCAAATTCCTTGAAGTCATTGGAAAATCCCATGACCTTTCTTTAAAATGAATTGCAATTATTTCTCTGGAGAAGCAAGGATCTACATGAAAGATGTCAGATAGAACACCTTAGACTTAAGAACTTAAATTGGGAAACAAACACAGACCTTGGTTCAAATCCCACAGTGAAGCTTTAGCTGAGAGAATGTGAAAATGTTCTTCAGACCGATCGGCAGCTGAGACCCATCCCCAGCAGCATAAGCAGAGGCTGATCAGGAGCGGTGCCCCAGCCCAAGCAGCAGCACTACTCGGGCAGCTGAGACCTGCCCTTGACAACTACAGCAGTGAATTTGGAGTGGAGCCACTCCCCCAGTAGCAGCAAAAGCCTGGGAGTGGAGCATCTTCAGCCCCCAACAGCAGCAGAGGATTGGGAGCTGAGAATACCCTCTGGCAACAGCAACAGCAGTAGCAGTTCAAACTGGGAGCTGACACTCCCTCCCAGCAGCAACTGATCAGGAGCTGAGGCCCACCAGGCAGCAGTGTACCCCAGCAGCACACCAGCTGGACCCACACACCCTAGCAGCGTTCCAGTAGGATCCACACACCCCAGCAGGATTACAGTGGAACCTACACACCTTAGCAGCACACTAGCAAAACCCGTGTATCCCAGAAGAACACCAGTGAAACCCATGCACCCCGGGCACCAGCAGCACAGATTGGCAGCTGAGACCCATCCCCAGTAGCATTAGCAGAGGAAAATCAGGAGTGGTGTCCCAGCCCAAGCAGCAGCAAGTCTCAAGCAGCCAAGACCTGCATGACAAACCAATACCAGCTGCCAGTTATTAATACTACAGGACCCACAGTGCCTAGGCAAGAGGCACCATACACCAAAACAGTCCTGGATACACAGTGGCCTTATTTGACACACACCAATCTGCCTACACATTCCAACATCCCTCACCAGTCCTAGAACTACGAGACTGCTCAAATGGTGAGACAAAGAAACAAACACTTAAATGAAAGAAAAGGTGGAATCACCAAAAAAAGAACATGAAATGAAAGAAGGCAATTTGTCAGATAAAGAATTCAAAGCAATGATTATAAGGCTGCTCAAACAA